TTAGCTCTATATTAAAGATATTTAAATTCATTACTTTATTTAGCTAAAATGTTTTATTTAGTTTATTGCTTTTAATTTATTGAAGCAGCAATTGTTAGTATTTTAAATCCAATTGGATAAAGAGAAGTAGAAAACATAAATTACCCAATTCAACTTGAATTTTAGAGTTTTTGTATGGTATATTAAAAAGTGTTGTCATTTGCATAATAGGGAAAATTTTTCTAATGCGATGTAATAGAATCGTAGGTATTAATTTTAATTAAAAATTCAGAGGAGAATAAGATTTTTATATTTATGTATACAAATGTAATAATTTTAACTATGCTATTCATAATTTGCACTGAATATGTAGGAATATGGATATTAAATTTGATAACTCTATATTAATAAACAATTAATTATCAAACTTCAGGAGCAATAGAAGAGATTTAATTTTAATTTAATCTAAAATAAAATTTAACTAAATTACAAATTTATATTGGAGGAACAGGAACTGTAATTCAATATTTAATTATTTAAGATAAATGAATAATATAATTTAGGAATATTTAGAGGATGATTTTCGCAACTTTTTATAAATCATTCAGATTTAAAATTTGAAGATATATATAATTAAAGAATTAATGAATATGAATAAAAAATCAGTATAATTCCTGATCTTCTCAATTATGATGGATTTCTTTAAAAAGAATTTGAATTTGATTAATTTGGTAGAAAATTTAGTATTTTTTGGTTGGGCTAAGTATTATAATTAAAATGCTTATTTATTAAAATAGTATTTATTAGTTAGATTAACAATTTTTAAAGACTATTAGATCAAGCTAATAATGGTGATGCAATATTAAAAATTGTAGCAAATCTGGATTTATCAGAAAGCTAGTATTATGGATAAGATGTAACATGTCATCATTATTGGATGCCATTTCCTTATTAGTTATCTAGGTTAGGAAATGATTAAATCAGATTAAGAAAAAATTTACCATATTAAGAATTATTAGCTAAATGGCATTTGATTTCTTTTGAATATGGAATTGTTGGAAAAGAATAAAAAATATAATTCGTATTAAGTCATTTTGAAAATAAAAAATTAATATCTAATACTTACTATTTAGGAGATTAATAATATTAAGGATTAATTGTGAATAATCAATTTTATGCTATTTTTGAAGGTGATTCTAGTGTTTATGAAAAGTTAAGGATAATTATCAGGATTTTAATTGGTTTCCAAATTGTTATCTTGTTATGGCAATAATGAAAATTTATATTAGTAGAAGTTACACTAATGTGGTTGTCAACTTGGAGAAATAGAAAATAATTAATAATTCTAATCGTTTAATGATTTAAATAAAACACTATGATTAGTGGAAATATAATTAGATTTTATAAAATCTTAATGTCTATTTGGATATTTTTATTTACCTACAGTAATAAAATTACATGAAAACATGAAGTTGAGTTAGAGATTAAGGATATTAGACAAGATACTCCATATGAGACACATAAAAAAATTATGGAGTGTCTTCATCAAATCATATTTTGATTATGTATTTGTAAAACAAAAACGTTGTAGATAAATATGATAGACTTTGGAGGAAATCAATAAGAGTAGTATGTTAAAGTATATTCAATGAAGGGAAGAAATCACCTTCTAAAAAAAGTTAAAACTGCAAGAATTATAACAATTAAAAATGCATGAAAAACTACAAAATAAAATTTTAGAATATGCAAGATAACATCATAAAATACTTACAGCTTAAGGCAAGTAAAATATATAAATAGATTAGATGCTAAACTATGGATATTTAGATCAATAATGGAGATACTCAAATGTGATTTGTAAATGCCATGAAAAGCATTTAGATAATAATAACCTTCTTGAGCATTAAAAAATTGGACAGCAATACAAGCCTTTTATTTATGTTAATATACCTAAGATTCGGGCCATATAAGTTTGATTTAATTATTTAAGAGCAAATATGTCATGCTATCTCATACATCTGAGGTATTTAATTTTACATATAAGCATAATCAGAGATGAAAAGTAAGAAGAGGCGAAAATCAGAGTAATTTTTGGATTCAAATGTAGTTCTGCCTTTCATATATTTCGTTCACATTTCCAGGATAAACGTTAATATTATTACGCTTCATAAAATGAGAGTTTATTCAACAGAGATAATTAAAACATACTTTGTAAGAGTTAAGCTTTTTTAAATGATTTTAATAGAAGTTTAATTTTTTCTGATAAGAAAAATTTTTTTTGAGTATATCAATATAGCGGATAAGTTAAGCTCTTAACAAATTTTTTTGGAATAATTATCTAAATCTTAGATTGTCTAAGCATTTTAATTACACTTATTCACAAACTTTTCCTTTAATTAGTTTTTAGTTAATTTTAATAATTAGTTTAAGTCTTCTGCTGGATTCAAACTTAATTTATACACACCTATCTTTCAGATTTGGATTTAATAAGTATTTAGATTTGTTTAATTGAAGATTTAATGTGATTAACTTTTTTAAAAAAATAATATAAATTGACCCTGAGATGAATTGATATCAAGACATATTGGATTATTTAATTAATTGGCTTTTCATTTTAAAAAGTACATCTCAATAAAGGAAGATGAAATGGAATTATTCATTTTTAGATAAAGTTTACCAATATGATAAAATTTAAATTGATATAAATAAAAAAGAGGAACATTTATACGTATTGAGGAATGAATTAAAAAGAGATAAAAATACAAAATATAGAAAAAATTAAATTTAGTATCTATGATAAAAACACACTCAAATGACAATGAGTAAATTTGTTCTAAGAAAAATACTCAAAAGGTTCTATCTTGCACATAAATTTCATCCTAATTTAAAGCTGATCTGTTCAGATAAAGCCTTAAGTTGTAATTTAATTAAAGTTTTCTCTATGTTAAATATACAATAACCTTCGTCATTTTATTATGCTAGATACCCTCTATATTTATATCCAGTAATATTGATAGAACATTTATTTGCAATTATAAATTTACATGATGTATTGTTTTTAGTTTAGGTAAAAAATACACATTTATAACCTCTACATTGATTTGAATAAAATATTAATTTGATAAATTCGTCCAGGACTGAACTACAAAAAGTTAAATTTACTCAAGTTTTAGAACTTTTTATTTGATCTATACCCTGTAGTTTTGTAACAAAATTGAATTAATATAAATGTATGTGCATGAATATTGTACACAGAAATCATTTGTCCATATACTTAGCATTATTTTTAAGTCATATAAAATAGTAAAAAGGAAGGTTTAATTCCAAAAAAATTATTCCATTTCCTATTTTATTTGCTTAATTTAAACAGTGAAACCCTTTTCATTTCGCACTTATGAACATTTGGAAATTGCTCTAATATACATTGATCTCAATTAATAACATTATTTTATTTTTTTTCATAAATTATATATTTTTGAACTACAACATGTTCTAAAACACTGAATTAAAAGATATTTTGGATATATGTGGAGTGAAGTTAAATTTATTTTGAGCTTTATAGTTCTTATTGATTTCATTTTATTTGTTAAAATATACTTTCAGTGAATATTTAACTTTTTCTCTACTTTTATCCCTTTTTAATTGCATTATATTTTGAATTTGAAATTTTCACTATGATTGTTTTTAAAGAGTCTTGCATTAATTCAAAATTCAAATTTAAAAAGAAAATTTAATTTAGGAATTTACAATTCAATTACAAAATCTTAATACTTTTAATTTATATTAGATTGTATTTTTCTCATTAATTCCTTACTCAGACTATAAATTTTTCTTAAGTTAAGAACATTCTATACATAAATTATTATTTTAATTCACCTCTGTAAAATATACTTTATTGAACTAGATATGTCACCTTTCATTTTTCAATGTAATTTTTTCTTGATTTTGACTAAAGTAACCCATTTATTATTCTTTAATTATTTAATTCTTTTACTAAATGCAAATGATTTAATCCATTAAAAATTTATTACATTATTTTTGCTAGAATAATTACTAATGACTCATTTATGCTACCTTGCATATTCTCAGAATTATTCCCATCCAGCAGTAACTAATTCTAAAACAACTTTAAAACTGCTTTCA